CAACCGACTATCGCATTTTCACTAATTAAGATTCTTATTTTTTTTTTGGAAAACATGCGTGGCATCCATCACGCAACGATTCTTATTCCTAGTTTCCACTGTCTCCGCAAGGAACGCCTGGCACAATGACTCCCTTTTGTGTCCTAAATACTACGAAAAACGCGTTGCAGATCATGAACCTCGTTGCCTACGCAAGCGAGACTAACAAGGCTGGCAAACATAATAGAAGAGAAAAAACTTCTGCGGTGCTTATTAGTAGTTAGAATAACTCTTGCTGGTTTGGTAAACGCCAAGCTTGGTCCCTTATACCCTGCAGCCTCCCAGTTAATACCCAGGTATGTATGTCATCTTTCTTTCATCTGGAGGTTTATTGTTCTCATAAACCCTCTCACCTGCCGTCCTTTGTTTTCTTCAGAACCATTTGTTCTGTTTTACATCTGGGACAAAGACGCAAAGGTTCTGCTCCTCTCTCATTCTCTATACCCAGAACTGGCAATTTGACAAAATACATTTAAAAGTTAGACAAAGTGGCAAAGTAGTGATGTCAGGCTATAATAGGCTCTTTGCAGCTATAGTCATTCACATTGTACCAAACCATCATACTGGAGAACAAGGGATGCACTGGGACAAGAGAAACAAAGGGTACTATCATTCAGTGCCGGATCCAAACCTTGAGGTAAGGGGGGGGGGGGGGAAGGGGGGGTCCCCCAAAAAATTCTCTACGCCCTTTGGGCCTCAGTTTACTCTAAAAATAAGGGGGCCCTCCCTGGATCTACCACTGTCATTTTAAATGATGCAAGCTCTTGGTTTCCCTTGTGCCTTTGTGTCTGTTGCTCTCCAGTATGGCTGTTTTTTTGACACGTGAATGACTAGCTGCAAAGTGCCCATTCAAAGGATGCAAAGAAGCTTAGCATACAAACTCGACAAACCCCACATCATAAATGTTATTCAAATTTAATACAACTAGTTACTACACGTATTTACAAAAAAGCTCAAACTACGTGAAACCTGAACTCTACACAAGTAAAAAAAATTGTACCTCAACATAGTTTTGTACAAACCTTCATCAAGAAACTCTTTAGGATCCCCAAAATAATTTGAGAGAGCCTGATCTAATTTGAGTGCCTATGATAAGGAAGGAATAAGATAAGAAACGATAAATGCACCTTTTAGGTGAATATAACAACACATCGTTTCTGGAACTTTGTTTATCAGTTACTCCATTTCTCTACAGCACGTGGCCACTCCTCTCAGCAAGAAGAGCTGAGTCAATTGTTATTTACTCAGACATAACTGAGAAAGAATAAGCACCATGTGATGATCATTAAACTACATTGGTCCTTCGCCACAAATACTTTCTCGATGGCAGTTTAACAGACATGAAATCTAAACAAACCTCCTGCACAGCCTGAACAAACTGTTCCTTGTACTTTGCTATTTGCTCTACAAGGACATCTAAATAAAGAAAGAATAAGTTTACGCCTTTTTCAGCATGACATGGTATTCTCTTCTTTACTTCTTTCAGAGGGATTCATAACATACACTAATGAGCAACTGAAACATAATCTGTATTAGTGTAGAGATGAAATCCTGAAGAATGGTCATTCACTCGAAACCTCACCACCTTACAGTACTCTTACTTTATCCTGTAATTGTAACTTATAATTTCTTTACCCACGAAGCACTTAACTCGTTTCAATGTGCCCGTGCATTCCAGGTCGAAAGGAATTTGGAAGTGTTGGTTTTTGAGGAGAAGGAAAAAACAAAGAACCCCAGAAAATCCTCTTGGAGCAAGGAAGAGAACCAAAAACAAACCCAACCCTCATATGGTGTTGATGCCAGGATTTGAACCCTGGCCACATGGTGAGAGTGGAGTACTATACAGTAAATGCTCAAATCAGCGAATAATGCCTCTATTCTACCTCCATACAGCACATTTGGTAATTTTTTTCTTAGGGGAGGGTAGAGGGTGCTTATGTGAAAAAAAAGGACTTGAAAGCTTGTTTTTTGGGCAAGCAGCCCTCACATTTTGCTCTCCCAGGGCCACGTCTTGCTGGCTTTAGTTAATGATTTACATGTAGTCAAGCAATGATTTGTCTGAATCCTTGCCCATTGAAGGAGGATACTAGTATACATATATATGGTGAACAGAGGTGACAATCACTGGCAGGACAAATTCAATAAATGCATTACAAAGTCTAAGGTGCCTTACCATCCTTGTTTTGTGTTCCTTCACAAATTCTGCCAAAAAGTTGACACAAAATTAGCCAAGACAAGAACCAGCGTGTAAGTGTATTTTTGCAAGGAATGGGAGCTGCTAGTACTTGATCATTACATTGGTCAACTAGTCTGACCCTAGTGATACTAACAGAGCTTGTTTAACTAGACTACGAGTAGTCCCCCATTTTTCCTCAGGGATAGTCGATCGCAGAGCGAGTGAAACGTGAGTGTAAGTGAAAATCACCCCACACGAGAAAAGGCGACACGCGGCGGGGAGAGATTTTTTTTCTCGCGTGGGGTGATTTTCACGCGCGCTCACGTTTCACTCACTCTACTATCACTGAGGAAAAATGGGGGACTACTCGTAGTCTATGTTTAACAGTCTGTCAAAACACTCAATTTGTAGCTCTCACACAAACATACCACACCAGTCACTAGTTACACTTAGTGGTCCTAACATATAACCTTAAACAGCTGACAACAAATCAAAAATGCGAATAGAAGTTGTCATTGCCTTTTAAGATCAGCTTCAAGTTCAGCCCTTAATCTTGGTTTTGAAAGCTCAAATCCCATCAGATCATAACCTTTAAAAAAGAAAAAAAGAAAAAAGGAAATAAAAGGACTGGGAGGAAATTGCCAATTCTGATTCTATGTACCTCCTATGTGTGGTTGACATTTTTAACCAAACATGCATTCATAACTAATGATTGAAGAAGACTCATTTGCACAGTGGTAACGTGAGGAACTTACAAAAAAATAATAAAGTTTCATTTTCTCCATAGCTATCCTTTGCCGTCAAAAATAAAAGGTTTAAAAATGGTTCCTTCATGAAATAAGGCTACGTGACACTAGTTCATTCTTACTCCCAATAAAGCTTATTGCTGTTAAATAATGTAATTCATTGGATCCAAATCATATGCACCTATCAATGTAAAGCCAGCGGAGGAGGGGGCAGGGTGGGGATTTGATTGTCTTTGTTGTCCCTGGGGTAGGGCATTTGACTGATCTTGTTCTCCCAGGAGAGGGGATATTTGAATCTTTCTTTGCCCGACGTGGAGATATTTGACTGCCGACTCAGACAAAAAAGACTAAGACCCAACATATGTTTCCCGCTTCCACGCTTCACGCATGCGCCATATGGTTTGAAAACTTCGGAAAGTCATGGAGGCCAATGAGAACAAGCGAAGGCTGAGTGATTTCACTGTTTTGTCTTCAAATTTCGTTTGTTTTGCGTGTTTTTGATCAATTGAACCTCTTAATATTCTGTGGTATCAAAGTAAACGGAAGTAAAGAGAAACCAAGTCGATTTTTGCAAGTACAATTCATTAGAATAGTGTATGGCTCATTCGCTACAATCACCTTAAACTTATAAAACTGACTTTCTTTGTACCCTTTACTAAAAACGGTATATTAAGACTTACAAAATGTGGACTTTCTCCTAAAGGTTTATGTATTCTACGCAGTGTAACACGGATTATGGTTAAAACGTATAATTGCAGCTGTAACAGGAACATG